AGGGTCTTCAAAAATTTTATGAGCTTGTAAAAGTTGCAATACATGATTTCGCTTCAAGCTAGTTGGATTAAGGCCAATCAACTGCACGCGCGGGCCGTTCACTTATACACTAACATCAAGGATAGTATGATCCTTAATAAAGGAACAGAAACAAACTCCCTGTATGTACAGTGAAAGGTATGCATATAGATTGAGTTATATGCACGTCGTGTATCTACCCTTTATATACATCTCTAGGTGTATATACCCTGTGGTGTGAAGTGTGAAGATCTATACAAGTAGTTCCCAACCTTTTCTAAACCATGGACCCCTTGTATTTAAATTAATTTTCCCAGGGACCCTAAGTTTTTGAAAGGTCCGTCTATTCAAGTTGATTTTATTAACTAACAGCAAACTAGTTTTCCCAGTATCATCTCTCAACTGAAAGACATACGTAAAAAGTTGTAATAAATGAAACCTGACCGTTGTTAGACGGAGGTTTGGCATGTTCCATTCGGCAGCCCATGAAATAAGACTAACAGTTTAAACAAGCGTCTAAAAAACTGACTATATCTGCAGATTTTGAATACTGCAGCCTCTTGAAACTGTGAACCTACCTCACGGACCCTCAGTACTATTGTTGCTGCAGACCACAGGTTGTGGAACAGCTGGTCTATACAATAGTGTCATGAACTTGTATATATATTATTTTCTCTAAAAATTATAATTAAAATCGTTTAATGAAAATGAGCACTTGCTGACTATTTCTTTCATAAACCTAGATGCCACATGAGAATAATTTTTGAAGCCCCAGTAAAGGGGTTTTCTGGTCGTGGGGTTTTTGATTCCTGATTACATCTTATTCCTTGTCAATACTAAAAATTTACTCTTGGTCGTCATTCCCAAAGCAGAATCTAACCGCATTTAACAAAAGAAAGTGAAAGGACGGGTGGGGTGTTGAACATAGACCTCGCTAAAGAGAGGCTATCTACTACTCGTTAAAGTAATTTTTACTATCAGTTTCGCGTTCGTATTCACCTTTATCTTATTTGCCTCACCAAATTTCAGAACAGTATCTACTTATAAGGACATACTCTGGTCATATAAGGACATACCCTGGTCATATAAGGACATACCCTGGTCGTATAAGGACAGGCTCTGAGCATATAAGGACTGACCCTAGCCATAGGAAGACAGACCCTGGCCATATTACATACCTTGGCTATATAAGGACAGACCTTGGCCATATAAGGACAGACCCTGGTCATATAAGGGCAGACCCTGGCCATGTAAGGACAGATCCTGGCCGTTTAAGGACAGATCCTGGCCATATAGCAGACAGACCCTGACCATATGTAGGGTCACCCTCTTTCTCTCTCTCTCTCTCTCTCTCTCTCTCTCTATATATATATATATATATATATATATATATATAATATATATATATATATATATATATATATATATATATATATATAGAAAACAAACCCTGGCCATATAGAAAGGAGACCATGACCTTATGAAAAAACCGGCCCTGGTTACATAGACAGATCCTGGCCATATAGCAGAGAGACCCTGGCCATACAGTAGACAGACTCTGGCCATATATAAAGAGCACACACTGTCCGTATGTAGATGACAGACCCTGGCAATATATAGAGGACAAACTCTGGCTATATATAGAGAGGATAGATCCTGGCTATGTAGAGAGGACAGCCCCTGGCTATATATAGATGACAGACCCTGGCAATGTATAGATGACAGACCCTGTTTATATATAGATAACAGACCCTGGCTACATATAGATGACAGACCCTGGCTATATATAGAGGACAGACCCTGGGTATATATAGATGACAGATCCTGGCTGTATATAGAGGACAAACTCTGGCTATATATATAGAGGACAGATCCTGGCTATATATAGAGGACAGACCCTGGCTATATATAGATGGCAGACCCTGGCAATGTATAGATGGCAGACCCTGTTTATATATAGATAACAGACCCTGGCTATATATAGAGGACAGACCCTGGTTATATATAGAGGACAGACCCTGGCTATATATAGATGACAGACCCTGGCTATATATAGAGGACAGACTCTGGCTACGTGTTGAGGACAGACCCTGGCTATATATAGAGGACAGACCCTGGCTATATATAGAGGACAGATCCTGGCTATATATAGATGACAGACCCTGGCTATATATAGAGGACAGACCCTGGCTATATATAGAGGACAGACCCTGGCTATATATAGATGACAGACCCTGGCTATATATAGAGGACAGACCCTGGCTATATATAGAGGACAGACCCTGGCTATATATAGATGACAGACCCTGGCTATATATAGAGGACAGACCCTGGCTATATATAGAGGACAGACCCTGGCTATATATAGAGGACAGACCCTGGCTATATATAGAGGACAGACCCTGGCTATATATAGATGACAGACCCTGGCTATATATAGAGGACAGACCCTGGCTATATATAGATGACAGACCCTGGCTATATATAGAAGACAGACCCTGGCTATATATAGAGGACAGACCCTGGCTATATATAGAGGACAGACTCTGGCTATATATAGAGGACAGACCCTGGCTATATATAGAGGACAGACCCTGGCTATATATAGAGGACAGACCCTGGCTATATATAGAGGACAGACTCTGGCTATGTATAGATAACATACCCTGGCTATATATAGAGGACACACCCTGGCTATGTATAGATAACATACCCTGACTACGTGTTGAGGACAGACCCTGGCTATATATAGATGACAAGCCCTGGCTATGTATAGATAACATACCCTGGCTACGTGTTGAGGACAGACCCTGGCTATATATAGATGACAACCCCTGGCTATGTATAGATAACATACCCTGGCTACGTGTTGAGGACAGACCCTGGCTATATATAGATGACAAGCCCTGGCTATGTATAGATAACATACCCTGGCTACGTGTTGAGGACAGACCCTGGCTATATATAGATGACAAGCCCTGGCTATGTGCAAGTGACTGATCCTCATAGGTATCAATTCGTAAAGGGGTAGACCGGTGAACCAGCGGAAGGTCTCGGTCATATGACCAAAAGTTGCAGTGGTGGGTCATTATATGACCAAAACCCACGTCAGGAAACACTTGTTTCCTGGCGAATCTTAACTAACCTAGCGTCATACATAGAGGGCAGACCCTGGCTATATAAAGAAGACAGACCCTGGCTATACAGAGAATACAAGCCCTGGCTGTATATAGTATAGCTTGCGACACTTTAAACACTGCATCTCTGAATACATGTGTAGGTCTTTCCTTATTGGCCTTCTCTCAACAAAGTCCTCTTAAGGTGCAAGTAGAGAGCACTGCCATTTAACTGAACACTTACCTTAGATTTTAACAACACAGAAAACTTTTCTGAATCCCTTTTCATTACTTCTGCACTGTTATTCACCGTACTAATTTTAGTGTTTTATATACGAGTTTATGAGCTGTTAGTACATTGTTTACATTAGGACTTTGGTTAGAGCTGTGTTTTCAATAGTATATTAACGGCTCAGTGCGGCTGTTCAAAGGGGTAATGCCTGCTGTATTTTGGGCACACGCCCCAGCTCTGAGGAGCTGGATGAGATTTTCGCTTTATAATCGGTGATACACACGTAACAACATGTACCTTATATGCCACCTTTATATCAACAATGTATCTCTTAAATCTTCTGTACCATATTATGTAACAAAATATTCCTATTGGTAAAAAAAAAATATATATGTAAAGATGGGGTGGTAGGGGAAGTGGAATATTCAAACGGCTTCAGGAAGAAATCCAAATATTCTTCCTTGAAGACTTTTTATTCACTTCTCCGAGGCTATGGGTCCCACAATTTACACCAGAGGTGGACCCCTATTTATATATATATATATATATATATATATATATATATATATATATATATATATATATATATTTATTTATTTATTTATTATCACACTGGCCGATTCCCACCATGGCAGGGTGGCCCGAAAAAGAAAAACTTTCACCATCATTCACTCCATCACTGTCTTGCCAGAAGGGTGCTTTACACTACAGTTTTTAAACTGCAACATTAACACCCCTCCTTCAGAGTGCAGGCACTGTACTTCCCATCTCCAGGACTCAAGTCCGGCCTGCCGGTTTCCCTGAACCCCTTCATAAATGTTGCTTTGCTCACACTCCAACAGCACGTCAAGTATTAAAAATCATTTGTCTCCATTCACTCCTATCAAACACGCTCACGCATGCCAGCTGGAAGTCCAAGCCCCTCGCACACAAAACCTCCTTTACCCCCTCATCTGCAACCTTTCCTAGGCCGACCCCTACCCCGCCTTCCTTCCACTACAGACTGATACACTCTTGAAGTTATTCTGTTTCGCTACATTCTCTCCACATGTCCGAACCACCTCAACAACCCTTCCTCAGCCCTCTGGACAACAGTTTTGGTAATCCCGCACCTCCTCCTAACTTCCAAACTACGAATTCTCTGCATTATATTTACACCACACATTGCTCTCAGACATGACATCTCCACTGCCTCCAGCCTTCTCCTCGCTGCAACATTCATCACCCATGCTTCACACCCATATAAGAGCGTTGGTAAAACTATACTCTCATACATTCCCCTCTTTGCCTCCAATATATATATATATATATATATATATATATATATATATATATATATATATATATATATATATATATATATATATATATATATATATATATATATATATAGAACAACCACTGCAAAAAAAGAAGTGAAATTCCAAGCGCTTTCGTGATTTCTCACCTTATCGAGGAACTAATGATATATATATATATATATATATATATATATATATATATATATATATATATATATATATATATATATATATATATATATATATATATATATATATATATATATATATATATATTCACTTTTCCATATGTACAGTAGTTTTCCAGCTATTTTTAAAAACCAGGGACTTGAACAGAGTTTCTAGACAGGTATTAACAACTACATTGCTCAGTGGGGTAATTATTTTTTATCTTGTGGGAATTTTATATATTTTTAGCTTGTTGGATTGTTGAGTAGGAATCTGAGAGACCAATATATGATGTTGAGAACGTTCTGAAGATTGTATGCATAAGGAGATTTATTTTCAAATGGAAAATAAGTCTCCTTATGAACGATTTTAAGGGAAAATTAGATAAGTTAGCAATAGGACAGCTTAAAAAAATAAATATTAAACTTAAAAAGGTAATTATGTTACCGCGAGGCTAGGACGGCTAGAACTAGAATTGTCTTCACTTTTGTAGGTAATAAAACAGTCAATAAAGTATTTTTATTTTGGTTACTGATTTTTTAGTGAGGATGACAGGGCGGGAACACTGTGCGAGAGAGGTGATGGGAAGAGCAGATTATTAAGTGTAAGGATTGATAAAACGAAGGGGGGGGAAGGGGGCAAGTTCAACGGAAATTAACGATGCTAGCTGGGCTAGGAGGTGAAATTTCATGAATAAGCTGTGAAAACTTCTTTAAATAAATGGAAAACTAAAAAATTAAGAGAATATGGAGACACGAAAATAATAGACAGCACGAAATCCAAGCACTGAATGCGATGAATGTTGGCGTATTGTGATAGCGTTTTGTGCTGACAGTAGAATGAGAGCGGCAAAGTAGGCTTGCATTTCAGTATGGGATGATGGCGATAAAAATATACTTACTCTCTGGAATTTTAAACGTATGAAAAAGTGGAAAGTTATGTAGTTTTAGAAACAGAGCAGACGTCTTAACGTCGTAAACACCAAAGAAATCGGGCACCGGGCCCCTCATTTAAAGGACTAGATTCTATACTGAATGTTTTGAAATGGTCCCTGTCAGGTCTTCATATATTAGACCGTGAACGGGTTCTTAGGGGAAGGAACAGCGTTCAGTACGATAGTTATAACCATGCCATTGCTGAGTTTATACGAGATCGAGACCATCGCCGGTGGGGTCGAGTAACCAGGGGTAGCTGCGAGGACAGTCCATGCAGGTGAAGAGATTTTGGGTCTCGCCTCGCAGCTCCCGGCTCTTAAGTACACAGGTGTTGGGTAGCGAGCAGTAGGGAAGACCCTTGACGTCACATTTTTCCTTCCACTCTTCGAATTCCCTGATTCCCGTGACGTCAGTGGGGTTCTGCATCCACTGGATCACCTGCAACATGCTCACAAAGTATACGTCATTCTGAGCAGTCTTTTCGTTGATGAACTTGATAAGTATTTTTTTGAAATCCTTATTACTCTCCAGCCAGGCAGCGTGGAAGTGGAGGCCAAGAGGGGCACGATTAGTGTTGTAATGACGCTGAAAGTTGTGTTCCAAGAAGTTTGTGAATTGTTCTCCGGTAAGAATATTGGTACAGGAGCTGACGAAGTGGCAGCCAGGGAGTCTTTCATCGAAGAGTGGATCATCACGACGGTCCAACTCGTTCATGACCATCTCCCAAACAGGGTGAGATCTGGAAGGACAGTTCTGGGCGTTGCCGTGGCACTTGTGTGGCATCCGGAAATACATGGTGTAGGGCCACAGTGGAACGCTATTCAGTGAGGCCGTGATGGATGCGTCGTAGATGAAGAGCTGATCCGTCATCATCTCAAACTGCGTGTTACCACCCACTCGGAGGTAGGGGGCGCGCACACCGATGATGGAGTTGTCGGTAATGTTGGCGAATCTCTCAATGATGAGTCTAGCGCCCGCCATCTCAGTGAGCCAGTCGTCGTAGGTTCCGTAGGTCCAATAATCGGGGTTCTCGCGGTTACTGATGGAGAACACTGCGATCTCGTGACCCTTGCGGTGTAGCTCTTGCACGGCTGAGTAGTTGGTGTACCTGTGGGACACGAAGAAGGTGGCCTTCACTTGACACCCGTTAGCATTCTTGCGGTCCTCACTAAAGAGCTCCTGGTAGAGGTCGACATTGTCGACATTGACAGCACCAGAGAAGGTGATGGTGATCATCTGTGGCGTCTGCGTGGGTTCCAAGTTGCCGGGGATCCGGGTGCCATCCGACGAACAGAAACAGTCTGGTAAAACACACTGTTGCTTGTCACACTCAGGTGCGCGGTTTGGGTCCTCATTCACGCCTAAGGAAAAATATGTTTAAATTATAATAAAGTTAACAAATAGTGGAACCAACAAGAATGGAAAATACAGTTAACCTTATCTTCACTAGAAATGATCTAGTACGAAATATAACAGTATCAAAGACAATAAACTCGGATCACAACATAACAGAAGTACAGACGTGTATGCGCAGGGCTCATGACCAGCAAAATTAGATTAGTTATAAGGGTGAATTCACCAAATTCAACTTTCAAAAACATACGGTGGGTTCAAATTAACCATGCTCTAAATGAAACTAGCTGGGAAGATATCCTAAACAACACGGATCCGAACCTCTGCCTAGAAAGAATTAACTCTGTGGCACTTGTGGTATGCTCAAGGCACAATTCCCTAAGGAAAAGAGAAGAGAATATGTAAACTAGAAAGAGAGAGATGCTCCCTCTACAGGCGAAGGCGAAGAATCACAGAATTGCTGAAAGGGGCCAGTATATCTGAGAGAAGGAAGGAGGCACTGGCTAGAGAAAAAGAGAGCATCGAATTTAAACTTAAGGAATCATGCAGTAGCCAAGAAACACAGGAAAAACTTAAAACTATAAATAAAAATTAAAAAAAAAAAAATTCTTATGCCAAATCTAGGTCAGAAACCACTTCCAGTATTGGGCCCCTGCTTCAACGAGATAGGATTTACATAGATAACAGCAAAGAAATGAGTGAGATACTAAAGTCCCAGTATGACTCAATGTTCAAAGAGCCGTTAATCAGACGAAGGGTCGATAACCTACATGATTTTTTTTTAATCGCGAAATAAAATATGCTTGACTCACGAAATCGTAATGACACGATTGCAAACAAACCATACCCCGGCCGGGATTGAACCCGCGGTCAGTTTTGAGACTCTCTGACCGCGGGTTCAATCCCGGCCGGGGTATGGCTTGTTTGCAATCGTGTCATTACGATTTCGTGAGTCATGTTGACGGCAGTGAGGGAACTTGAGCTAGAGTTCGTCACGGCCACGCTAGCTGGAGATTCGTCTGTAAAAACTTGCATTTGTGGTCACAGTGGTGCCTGTGCTAACCTTCCTATGGTGTAGAAATATACCTAGTTGGACGAATCTTATTGTGGCTAGCTGGTCTAGTGGCTAACGCGACGGTCTGGAGTTTTAAGACTCTCTGACCGCGGGTTCAATCCCGGCCGGGGTATGGTTAAAATATGCTTAATTCAAGAATTTTGGATATAACCCTAACACTACAGGACTTCAAAAACGAAACAAATGACATGCCTATGCACTCTGCCCCAGGCCCAGACTCATGGAACTCCTGGTTCATCAAGAACTGCAAGAAACCCTTTTCAAGTGCTTATGGAGAGATAGCATAGACACAGGGGTCATCCCACAGTCACTAAACACAACAGATAGAGCCCCACTCCATAAAAATGACAGTAAAACAATTGCAAAAAATTACAGACCAATAGCACTAACGTCCCACATCATAAAAATCTTTAATAGAGTTCTAAGAAGCAAGATCGCTAACCACCTGGATACTCATCAATTGCATAACCCAGGGCAGCATGAGTTTAGAGCAGGTCGCTCCTGCCTCTCACAACTTCTGGACTACTATGACATGGTCTTGGATGTACTTGAGGACAAACAAAATGCAAATGTAGTATACACAGACTTTGCGAAAGCCCTCGATCATGGGGTAATAGCACATAAAATGCGTGATAAAGGAATAACATGAAAAGTTGGTAGATGGGTCTATAACTGCCTAACAAATAGAACTCAAAGAGTAATAGTAAGCAAAGTCGGACGCGGCTACAGTGAAAAGCTCTGTTCCTCATCCTCATATTTGACATAGATAGGTAATTCACAGTACTGTGTCTTCCTTTGCTGATGATACCAGAATTTGTATGAGTGTCATCCATTGAGGACACTGCAAATCTCCAAGCGAACATTAACCAAGTTTTTAAATGGATTTCAGAAAACAATATGAAGATCAATGTAGACAACTTTCAATGGAAAACTCGAGGAAATAAAAACTGGATCAGAGTATAAAAGAAATTTCAACCATACAGTAGAGCGAGAAACTAATGTGATGTCAGAATCTTACTTTCAAAGACCACAACAATGTTTTTATCACATCTGCTAGGAAAACGATAAGATGAATAAGGAGAACCTTCTTTACTAGGGATGCCAAGCCAATGATGAGTCTCTTCGAATCGCTTGTTCTTTCTTGGCTGGAATATTGCAGTACACTAACGGCCCCTTTCAAGGCAGGCGAAACTGCAGACCTGGAAGATATACAGAGAACTTTCATTGTACGTATAAGTACAATAAAGCACCTAAATTACTGGGAACGGTTGAAGTCCCTTGAAACGCAGGCGAGAAGAAACATGATATATACACTTGGAAGATCTTAGAGGACCTATGAAAGCAAAAGACTCGGCAGGCGGTGCAATATCCCCCCCCAATGAAAAGCAGGGGCGCCATTGGTACGCGAAGAGAGAGCACAATAAGTGCCAGGAGCTCAAGACTGTTTAACTGCCTCCCAGCATACATAAGGGGGATTACCAACAGACCCCTGGCTGTCTTCAAAATGGAGCTGGACAGGCACTTAAAGTCAATACCTGACCAACCGGGCTGTGGTTCGTACTTCAGTTTGCGTGCTGCAAGCAGTAACATCCAGGTTGATCAGGCCCTGATTCACCACGAGGCCTGGTCACGAACAGGGCCACGGGGGCGTTGACTCCCGGAACACCCTCCAGGTATATCCCAGTATGGTTAAAGAACACTAAGAGAGTGACACACAAGCAAAAATTTAAATTCTATACATTACTTAATAGCATATTAGCAATGGTAAGGTAAATACGTGATTATCTGTAGTTCATTAACTAATAACACATTTACCTTACCATTGCCGATATGTGTATTCTGTATAAAATTTAAATAAGGTCTATAGATGATATGTAACAAATGAGAAATGTTTTGACAGACTTTTGTAAATTCATTGCCTCTTAATCATAATAGCATAATAACTCGTATGTCAATAATTCAATGTATAGTGAGGCATCGACACACTCGCTGCTATAGTTCATCCAAAATGTAGGGAGTATTCAAAACAAGCCAAACGATCGTTATGTTCCATAAACATCATATCAGAAGTTGGCATAATAGCCAGCGTATTCACAAACATGCCAAACAGAATTCTAGCATACTCAAAATTATCCAGTCAGTAACAGCAATAATGTAAAGAGCAGCAGTAGTCCTTCCACTCGCTAAACAGCCATCCAGAACGTACACGTAGTAACAGAGTTTTGAGACTATGACCGCGGGTTCAATCCCGGCCGGGGGTATGGTATGTTTACTAACCATTCAGAATAAAAACTGGAATAGCTCTAAGCAACTACACAATCTGGAGGGAACTTACTGCAGGCGTTTTCATCGGACTGATCTTCACAGTCGAAGTTGCCGTCACAGAAGAGTGTCTGGGAGAGACACACTCCATCGCCGCAGGCCAGCTGACCCGCCGGGCAGATGGGTTCCTCCGTGTTCAGCATTGGTTTAGCCTTGGTAGGCTCTGCGAATGAGCAGAAAAAGTGTTGTATTTTATTGAAGAGCTTAATTTAATGTAATTTATCGAATAATAAAAATATTAACAAAAATGGACTTAGCAAGAAATTTTTAATTTGCTTAAAAAATAAACTAACCTAATCTTGGTAAAATTTACGTAATCTTACCTACTATGACTAACTACTTACTGTGATCTAACCTACCAATGCCAAATTTTTATTACTCCTTATCAAATACGAAATATAATAATTTCATTATGTGCGGACTGATTTTCGCAGATATAAATATGAACACAAGCTCAGCTCTTTTGACAAAATAATCCTTATCAAATAAGGTAGGTTCGTGCATTTTATCAACAGCCAGGTGCTTATGGGTGCTCAGGCACCTCGCCCGTTAATTCTATATCTCTGACCACCACCATGTGTAAGTCAAAGGTAGTTCTCACACCCAGAGATTTTCAGCGCTCAGGATGAGGCTCTGCAATGATACTTAAGTTAATGAGTATGCACAAAAAGGTGCGAAGGTAAACTTAAGAGCATTTACTTTGCGCAAAACATAGCTTAAATAATTACCTGGCTGTGACTTCACTCATATGTTTCATCCATCCCTATCACCTGGTTTAATCTCTAACTCCAGTCTTAATCTTCACCTTTATCCATTTCTACTCCTTGTCTCCTTACACTACTGTTCCTACCTCAGTGTATCCTCTGCTGTTCCTTCAGACCCAATCTCTTCAGTCCATTTACTTTTTTATTCTGCTTCCTCTGCCCTCCATCCATTACTCCTCTATTCACTCATTCTTCCTTGCTTTAAACATGTTCCGCCTTCACCACCTATTCTTTACTCTTTTTACCTATTCCTATTTCCTCTTCATCCACTCACTTTTCAACTCTATGCCGTCTGAAAACTTGTTTTTTTCCTCATCCAGCTCCTCGACAGGAAACACTGCTAACTTTTATTCCCACAATGTTACTATTATATAGAATAAAATACTACACTGCGTCACTCTTTCCTCCGTCACTCCTACCTCCGTCACTCCTTTCTCCGTCACTTTCCTCCGTCACTCCTTCCTCCTTCACTCCTTCCTCCGTCACTCTTTCCTCCGTCACTCCTTCCTCCTTCACTCCTTCCTCCGTCACTCTTTCCTCCGTCACTCCTTCCTCCTTCACTCCTTCCTCCGTCACTCTTTCCTCCGTCACTCCTTCCTCCTTCACTCCTTCCTCCGTCACTCTTTCCTCCGTCACTCCTTCCTCCTTCACTCCTTCCTCCGTCACTCTTTCCTCCGTCACTCCTTCCTCCTTCACTCCTTCCTCCGTCACTCTCTCATTCCTTCCTCCATAACTCCTTCCACCATTCGCTTCCTACCCATTCTCTCCACTCCTACATCTACTTTCCTATTTTTCTCCCATTCATTCAGTCACTTCCTTCCCTCTATTCGTAAGTTCATTTCCCTACTCTTCCCTCTAGCCTTACATTTCATGCCCTACTTTCTCCTCTACCTTTTTCATCATATTCTCTACTTTCCCTTCACTCCTACATCCACTTTATTACTTTTCCTTCCACCTCTGTTACTTCTCTCAAATTTCCTCTGTCTTCTTCCTCTTCCCGCTTCCCTTCTTCAGTATGAACTCTTTTCTTAATCCTTGCCACCTGCTCCATTCTCCCCCTTCTCTTACCTCCCTCTCCACCCACTCGTGTACACTGACTCGCTCTTAGCGGCCTCCTCCTTTACTCTTTCCACTTTCTTCTCCACTCATTACCCCCTCATTAATTTACCCCATCCTCATATGAGATCCACTGGGGAATTGGATTACACAAGTGTGTGTGTGTGTGTGTGTGTGTGTGTGTGTGTGTGTGTGTGTGTGTGTGTGTGTGTGTGTGTGTGTGTGTGTGTGTGTGTGTGTGTGTGTGTGTGTGTACTCACCTAATTATACTCACCTAATTGTAGTTGCAGGGGTCGAGACTCAGCTCCTGGCCCCGCCTCTTCACTGAACGCTACTAGGTCCTCTCTTTCCCTGCTCCATGAGCTTTATCATACCTTGTCTTAAAGCTATGTATGGTACCTGCCTCCACTACATCGCTCGCCAGACTGTTCCACTTCCTGACCACTCTGTAACTGAAAAACTGCTTCCTAACATCCCTGTGACTCATCTGAGTCTTCAGCTTCCTAGAGTGACCCCTTGTTTCTGTGTCCCCTCTCTGGAACATCTTGTCTCTGTCTACCTTGTCTATTCCACGCAGTATTTTGTATGTCGTTATCATGTGTCCACTATCCCTCCTGTCCTCCAGTGTCGTCAGGCCGATTTCCCTCAACCTTTCTTCATTGGACAATTCCCTTAGCTCTGGAACTAATCTTGTTGCAAACCTTTGCACTTTCTGTGTGTGTGTGTGTGTGTGTGTGTGTGTGTGTGTGTGTGTGTGTGTGTGTGTGTGTGTGTGTGTGTGTGTGTGTGTGTGTGTGTGCGTTCGTGTGTGTTCGTGTGTGCGAACGTGACTGCGTTGAACGTACTTTGTGTGTATGAGGAGTTTTGATGAGGGTTTTAAAAAAGGGTGTTGTGTATATGGGAGTGTTACACAGGGGTGTTGTACGTTACACATGCACGTTGCTAAAAAAAAGACACGTGTAACACCTGGATGTGCATGTGTTGCACAAGTGTTTCTTTTTCATCAACGTACCGGTATTGTACAGTGTCATAATACATGTGTGTAGTGTTATATAAGTGTTGCACCAAAATGTTAATGTTTAACATATTCGTGCATCCTGAGTAATAACATTATTACCTGGTAGCAACATTTTCCTCTTCTGAAACAGTAAAAACATTTGGGCTACATTTTAATATGTCAAGTAAAAAAAAATATGGTTTCAAAAGTAAAATCAGCAATACTAAGACCATGATCACATATATTCTGTGGTTAAAAATAAACATTGTCCAATGCCGGAGTAATTCAGGAAACTCTATAAAATATAGATGGAATAAATTCGTAAATTTATATGTGTACATTATTAAAGCATCGAACAGCTGTGCCTTTCAACAGGTGATGGGTTAGGTGCCTTGAATCTATAATCTCTTCTGTATACATCAACTTTAATTACCGTGACAAAAATAGGGAACGTACTATAATAAGTATCATTCAAGCGAGAAAGTATATTTGTTTTGATTCCCAACAAGGTCGAAATTCCAAAATGTAAGTAACTGTAACTGTTTTTGTGGACACACTTATTGGGCGTGGCACTGTTCTCTTGATACGTTATGATGTGTCAAGTGCTGAGGCCTGTGACGCAATTGTGGCTCAAGCCCACTACGCGCGCGCGCACATACACACACACACACACACACACACACACACACACACACACACACACACACACACACACACACACACACCACACCACACCACACCACACCACACCACACCACACCACACACACACACCACACCACGTACACCACACCACACACACACACACACACACACACACACACACACACACACACACACACACACACACACACACACACACACACACACACACACACACACACACACACCCAACACACAGGAGACAGACACGAAGTATTAAACTACAGACCAGTATCATTGACATGTATAGTATGCAAAGTCATGGAGAAGATTACCAGAAGAGTGGTGGAGCACCTAGAAATGAATGAGCTTATCAACGACAGCCAGCACGGTTTCAGGGACGGGAAATCCTGTGTCACATACCTACTGGGGTTCTATGACAGGGTGACAGCAGTAAGACGAGAGAGAGAGAAGGGTGGGTAGACTGCATTTTCTTGGACGGTAAGAAGGCGTTTGACACAGTTTCACACAAGAGATTATTGCAAAAGCTTTAGGACCAGGCAGGGCTAACAAGGAAGGCACTGCATTGGATTAGGGAATACCTGTAGGAAGACAACAGCGGGTCATGGTACGTGGCGAGGTGTCAGAGTGGGCAGATGTGACGAGCGGGGTTCCACAGGGGTTAGTCCTAGGACCGGTGCTGTTTCTGGTATTTGTAAACGACATGACGGAAGGAATAGACTCCAAAGTGTCCCTGTTTGCAGATGATGTGAAGTTGATGAGAAGAATTCAATCGGACGAGGACCAGACAGAACTACAAAGGGACCTGGACAGGCTGCAGGCCTGGTCCAGCAACTGGTTCCTGAAGTTCAACCCCATCAGGTGCAAAGTAATGGAGATTGGGGAAGGGCAAAGAAGACCGCAGACGGAGCACAGTCTAGGGGACCAGAGATTACAAACCTCACTCAAGGAAAAGGACCTTGGGGTGAGTATAACACCGAGCACATCTCCTGAGGCGCACATCAACCAAATAACTGCTGCAAGTTACGGGCGCCTACCAAACCTATTAACAGCATTCCGCCATCTTAATAAGGAATCGTTCAGGACCCTGTACACTGTGTACGTTAGGCCCATATTGGGGTATGCAGCACCAGTTTGGAACCCACACCTAGCCAAGCACATAGGGAAACTAGAGAAAATGCAAATGTTTGTAACTAGATTGGTTCCGGAGCTAAGGGGTATGTTCCACGAGGAGAGTTTAAAGAAAATCGACCTGACGACACTGGAGGACAGGACAGATAGGGGGATATGATAACGACATACAAAATACTGAGAGAAATCGATAAGGTGGAGGGAGACAGGATGTTCCATAGATGGGACACGGCAACAAGGGGTCACAGATGAATCACAGGGATGTTAGGAAGTATTTCTTCAGCCAGAGTTGTCGGGAAGTGGAATAGTCTGGGAAGTGATGTAGTGGAGGCAGAATCCACACATAGCTTTAAGAAGAGGTATGATAAAGCTCATGGAGCGGGAAGAGTGACCTAGTAGCGGCCAGCGAAGAGGCGGGGCCAGGAGTTGTGACTCGACCCCTGCAACCACAACTAGGTGAGTAGAGCTAGGTGAGTACACACACACACACACACACACACACACACACACACACACACACACACACACACACACACACACACACACACACACACACACACACACACACACACACATGGTTTCAGGGACGGGAAATCCTGTGTCACAAACCTACTGGAGTTCTATGACATGGTGACAGCAGTAAGACAAGAGAGAGAGGGGTGGGTGGATTGCATTTTCTTGGACTGCAAGAAGGCGTTTGACACAGTTCCACACAAGAGATTGGTGCAAAAACTGGAGGACCAAGCAGGGATAACAGGGAAGGCACTACAATGGATCAGGGAATACTTGTCAGGAAGACAGCAGCGAGTCATGGTACGTGGCGAGGTGTCAGAGTGGGCACCTGTGACCAGCGGGGTCCCGCAGGGGTCAGTCCTAGGACCAGTGCTGTTTCTGATATTTGTGAACGACATGACGGAAGGAATAGACTCTGAGGTGTCCCTGTTTGCAGATGACGTGAAGTTGATGAGAAGAATACACTCGATCGAAGACCAGGCAGAACTACAAAGGGATCTGGACAGGCTGCAGACCTGGTCCAGCAATTGGCTCCTGGAGTTCAATCCCACCAAGTGCAAAGTCATGAAGATTGGGGAAGGGCAAAGAAGGCCGCAGACGGAGTACAGTCTATGGGGTCAGAGACTACAAACCTCACTCAAGGAAAAAGATCTTGGGGTGAGTATAACACCAGGCACATCTCCTGAAGCGCACATCAACCAAATAACTGCTGCAGCATATGGGCGCCTAGCAAACCTCAGAACAGCATTCCGACATCTTAATAAGGAATCGTTCAGGACCCTGTACACCGTATACGCTAGGCCCATATTGGAGTATGCGGCACCAGTTTGGAACCCACACCTAGCCAAGCACGTAAAGAAACTAGAGAAAGTGCAAAGGTTTGCAACAAGACTAGTCCCAGAGCTAAGAGGTATGTCCTACGAGGAGAGGTTAAGGGAAATCAACCTGACGACACTGGAGGACAGGAGAGATAGGGGGGACATGATAACGACATACAAAATACTGAGGGGAATTGACAAGGTGGACAAAGACAGGATGTTCCAGAGATTGGACACAGTAACAAGGGGACACAGTTGGAAGCTAAAGACACAGATGAATCACAGGGATGTTAGGAAGTATTTCTTCAGCCACAGAGTAGTCAGTAAGTGGAATAGTTTGGGAAGCGATGTAGTGGAGGCAGGATCCATACATAGCTTTAAGCAGAGGTATGATAAAGCTCACGGCTCGGGGAGAGTGACCTAGTAGCGATCAGTGAAGAGGCGGGGCCAGGAGCTCGGACTCGACCCCCGCAACCTCAACTAGGTGAGTACAACTAGGTGAGTACACACACACACACACACACACACACACACACAACAGGCCTAGTGTCTAATTGACATGTGCCTAGGACAAAATGGTAACTAACTAACACACACACATACACACACACACACACACACACACACACACACACACACACACACACACACACACACACACACACACACACACACACACACACACACACACACACACACATACACACACACACACACACACACACACACACACACACACACACACACACACACACACACACCACACAAACACACACACACACACACACACACACACACACACACACACACACACACACACACACACACACACACACACACACACACACACGCCGAATACCCTCTACAGTTGATGTTCGTTTTGCAAATCTAAGATTAGCATTCAGGAATCTCAAGAGTCATTCATGAGCCTTTATTCAACATACGTGAGGCCCATCTTGGAGTATACAGCACCAGGATGGAATCCACACCTGATAAAGCAGGTTAAGAGAGTGTAGAGGTATGTAACGAGGCTAGTTCCAGAGATAAAAGAAATGAGCTATGAGTAGAGGCTAAAGGAACTGATCCTGGTGACATTAGCGAACGGAAGAACTAGGATTAATATGATAACAGCATACAAAATACTTAGAGAAATTGATAAGGTGGAAGGATGTAATGTTTCTTCTGGCTCAAGTTATTTTGGAAGTGGAATAACCTGGATGAAGACTGCATATGTAATTTTCAGAATAGGCATGGCAGGGCCCACAAGGCAAGGAGAGAGTGAATCTGGTAAGAGGCAAGAGGCTGGGCCTGGAGCTAAGACCTGACCCTCCCCTTGAAAAGACGATGGGTTTCTGGTTGAAGCAGAAATATATAATCTCTCTTACCTGTATTTCATACTTTTGTCCAAGTAGTTTTTTGCTCATCATTAATCAGTGTTCATCATTTAATCTAAACATGGGAGATGATTACCAGATGGCTGAGATACTTACTTTCTAGCTTATCACAGTTCTCGACGCGTTTCTTCCAGTCACACACCTGACGGTCCACGTCGAAGGCGAGTCCTGTGGGACACCTGAGAGCGGCTAGGCGGATGGGTCCGCTCACCCCACTTCTGTCACACCTGAAGTGCCACACCAAGTGGGAGCTAACTGACTGGCTCAACATGGATGAGAATGTGAATACACTGTGATCGTATGAGAACAAAATATAATGTCGAGATGAGGTCATATGATCACCAAGAAATTTGAAGAAAAGATTCATGTTGCAAAACAATGTTTTATTGTGAATGAAAAACATGATGAATAAGACACATGTGCACCACAAAGATATCTTCATTGCCGAAGTTAATTTTTAATGCAGGAGACAGTGGAAGAGGTGAACTAATTTCTATATTTAACTCAAGAAGTCTGCTGTACAGGTGAAAAGTCTTGGCATAAAAACGTGTTGTATAACATTATAAAAGCTCTCCAACGAGTGTTTCAATTATATTAGCAATACACTACTGGGATCCACCAAGGGGGTTTAAAAAAACGAATCAGCAAGAACTCATTCTTATAATATAACGATGTCAAAAGACACTAAAAGACATACATGATCATTGAAGGAAGAATATCACAAGAAACATTTGGTCTTAATATGCAATTTATCCACAACAAAAGAGTATTACTGTCAATTCCAAACGCTTTTATGAACTTCCAAACACAAGTATTGCTAAATTTTATTCCCTTTCATTATAGTTAAATTGCAAGTGATAATTCAAGTAATCAGAGATGTAATTATAACAAAATTAAACAAATTATAAAGAAGCAGTCAAAGTGGTAAAATCAAAAGAGAAGAAGAAAAGCTAAAAAAGTCACTGATAGGGAAATAAAATGAAATTAATTCGATTATTTCAGATCAAATAATTCAAAAGGGGTCAAGTAGTGTTAACCTTGAATTAAAAGAAATTAAAATATTCTATTTAGATAAAAAGGTCAAATTACGTCAAGAAGAGATCGTATGATCCATTAGCGCTGGACTTTGGTTGGTCTGTGGTACCTGGTCTTCGTTACAGCGATCATTCCCTGTTCTTCTCATTCTTGCACGCGATCCCCCCCCCCCCTTTCATCGTTGCTCCCGTGGTAATTTGGGCGGGCAGATTGAGCGCTGTAGTCACGCCATACGTCTTTCTTGATGTTCTCCTGGTTAAGCGCTTGATTTTTTAATACAATAACACTTTTTAAATACACTGGCCGTCTCCCACCCAGATAGAGTGACTCTATGAAGAGAAAACACATTCACCGTCATTTATTCAATAGCTATCTTGCAAGAAGTGTGTTGACATCAAATTTCAGATGACCCTCTGAACTGCAACCTGTTCTCACTGTTCTTGCCACTTTTAGAGCTCAAGTCCAGCTAATTGATTTCCTCGAATCTCTTCATAAATGTTACCTTGCTGACACTTTGAATATAACAGTAATAATGAAGTAATTTATGTTAAAATATAAAAATTTATATTAAGGAGGATAAAAGTAATATTATAATGTTAAAACGAGACGAATAAAGGTATAGCATAATGAATTTATAAAATAAGCTCAGGGAAGATCACAAGAGTTTCATAAGGTACAGTGAGGCAGAAAATCAATGACACAAGTTAAAAAATGAGGAACGGTAATAATTATGAAAATTATCAGAAGACAGAGATAGAGAATGAGAGAAGTGCTGGAGATGATAGAGGGAGTGTTATCTAGTAGACTAGTACTCAGTCACCTCTCATTAAATGTAAGTTTATTCATGATTCGTAATTGTGTTTGCCAAGACGAATACGTTTGAAGAATAGTCACAATACCGTGGTTGGAATCGTTAACCTAAATGGCGATGTTTCGGTCCCTACTGGGCCACTGTCAAGTCACAATTGAGCCAGCTGTGACTTGACAGTGGTTCAGGCCGAACCGAACGTCATCATAAAATTGCTCTTCTTAGCTTAGGATTTTTAGTGTATGATAAACGAGCTTTTATTACCGTATTTTCCGGCACATGAGGCGCAGTTTTTTCCCACAGAAAGTCTTGGAAAATCACCCTACGCCTTATATACCAAGGTCAGGGTCAACGGTAGGTTCTGGGTTACACTTTAACAGTTGTTTACTAACATTACGTTACAACTGTTTGGAAATATCGTCTTAAATGTCTCATATGATCGTGCGCCTTATATGGCGGAAAATACAGTATTTGGGCACCTTCTAATTTGATTGTTTCCACGTTTAAGTTGTCACATACAATTGTGATTCATTTCTTTATGGTACACCGAAACTAATAAATTGTGTAGGCATTTAGGAATTTTTTAAGGAGGGAAGGGGGAAGGGAGAGGAGAGAAATGGAAAGAAGGGAGGGGAAAGAGTAGGGAAAATGTAAGGAGAGGGGAGGAACTGAGGAATGAGGGAGGGAGTCAGGAAGGAAGAACCTGAGAAAATAGGAGAGATGCGAAAAAAAGTGATAGAGGAATGCCTTCTATCAAAAAAAAATTCATATGTATATGATTTGTTTCACGAAATATACCGCTGTATGAGAACCGGAATACCTCCTTGTATCATCTTAATAAGCCTGAACTACACCTAGATGTACATTCTTCTCTCTTTATCTCTCTTTACTTCTTACTTTCTTTCCTTCTTTTTTCTTTCTTTCCTTTTTTTCTTTTCTTTCTTCTTTCTATTTTGGAAGACTCTGGGACCTGGCTGCTGGTTGACCCCCTGGAAGCGACTATAAGTAACCTCGCAGTGTTTCTTCACTTTTCAAAATTTTCTACTTATTCTGACTATGTGTGCATACATGAGTTCATGTATGTTTGTGCTAATGTGCGTGTTTTGTTTGCCTTGTCTGCATATTTGTTTCTCAGCCTCCTTTATCTTCCCCTTCGTACCCTCCATATCTCGTCTTTTTCCCCATTCAGCTCTCCTTTCGTTCTTCTCTCGCCCCGTCCTCTTCCTCATGTCACTCACCTAAATGCATCTCGGCAGTCGTTGAAGTCTGGCAACCTGAAGAACTCTTCACTGGGCCTGTTGATACACATCTCCTCGGCTGTATATGGTAGATCGAAGGAGTTAGTCAGCTGCCTCCTCTCTCTCTCGTGTCCTGAGCTCTCCAAACCACTCACTGTGGAGGGAGAGAAGCAGATGTGAACACGGAATAGTTATGGATATTAATGGAGAACATCAAAAAGACAGATAGAACAAGAGGCTTCATCTACTTGGGTTATTTGATAGTAAAGTAGACATATGTATGGTACCGCTCCTACATGCGCATACAACCTACAGGGGAAAAACCTGTTTAAAATAACACCGTACTGGATTGAAAGATGTGCAAGGAAACTTAGGAGAAGGAATGAATGTTAACTTGAAATTGCTTATATTGTAGCATCATCTATGGTTATCGCTACTGTTGTTAAATACCACATCTTCTAATATTACTACCTACCACTACTAGTATTACTACTACCTACAAATATTGCTGTCATTATCAGTACTATATATTACGTATTTTTAAAGGTCTTTGAGATGCGTGCCTCTCAATATCGTGTGGGAGAAAGAGAAAGAAATAGAAAAAGTAAAACAAGGTGGATAAAGAGTAATAACTAAAAAGGAAAAGAGGAAAGAAATGAGAATTGCAAACATTAATGAGCAGTCACTAAAAATTCTCAAAAGCTGAAATATTTAAAAATTTTGGGTTACATCGTTCGCATGGCGAGCATGTAAGACTCCTGCAAAGTGAGCAGGGTAAATTTGACATTGACATTGGACGAGTACTTGACATTGAAAGTGAAGATCTCCAAAGTCGAGTATTGCATAATTTGAAATTTACATTCCAGGAGTAACGTTGAAATGCTTGATGGTGAGCACTGAGGTCGTCTTAACTGAAAGCAGTAATTCAGTTTTCAGTATGACGTGGTTGATTTTGCTGAAAGATGATAGCGAGAAAGCAGGAGAATGTTTGCAATCAAGATGGCCCATTTCTTTAGTAGCATCTCAGTACTCTTTCGTTAATGTGTACCATTAATTTTCTTAATATAACAACTCTCCTCTTCTTTGATGCATACATTCTACCCATATTTGTAATATCTTGACTGTTTCTCTGTATCATACCTTTCTTCTTTACTCAAACGTCACACTGGCTCCAGCACCTGCCATTCTCCTTCGCTCAACCGTCACTCAGGCTCCAGCACCTACCATTCTCCTTCGCTCAACCGTCACTCAGGCTCCAGTACCTGCCACTCTGGTTTCAGTACCTGCCAATCTGGCTCCAGTACCTGCCATTTTTCTTCGCTCAACTGTTACTCAGGCTCCCGTACCTACCGTTCTCCTTCCCTCAACCTTCACGAATATAACATCGCTGAAAAATTACTCAGGTCAGCTTACTGTCAGTGACAGAAATGTGGACAGTCTCTAAAATTTCTTCTGTTTTTATGCAGGAAAATATAGTACTAGCGAAATTCCAGAAATCTATAATTAAATAGGTCAGAATACAGGCCACTAGTTATATGGTTCTCAGACAAACAGAATAAAACCAAACATATCACAGGAGCCCTGATAAACTATTCTCAAGGGTTATAAAGGGATACAAGGGGCAACTTTGATACATCATTACAAACGGGTATCGTACCGAATAAGTAGAAAATGGCAAATATAATACCTATTTACAAAGGAGGAAATAGGTCCTTAGCCTCGAATTTCAGGCCAATTAGCCTAACCACTGTCATGGGAAAATTGATAGAATTAATGACTGCAGGAGCAATTCGAAGTCACCCTGAAAGATATAATTTGATCAATGAGTCTCAGGGGTGTTCATGCCTTTTAAATTTACTAACTTTTTTCATTAAGGTATTTGAGATGGAAGATCATGATAATGAATATGATGTTAAGTATATGGACTTCGTTAAAGACTTGGATAGAGTTCCACACAGGAAACTGTTGAAGAAAGCAGAGTTACAAACAGTAGGAAGGAAAATATTCTGAAGTGAGGAGTAGTTGACCGAAAGACAACAGAGAGGTTGCATAAATGGGAAGAAATCAGAGTGGGGACGCGTCACCAGTGATATCCCATAGGGGTCTGTATTTGGACTTTTGTTGTTGCAATATACATAGATGACGTAGATGAAATGATAAGTATCAACATGAGCAAGTTTGCCCATGACACTAAAATGAGCCGACAAATAAATTCTGATAAGGACTCTATAGTGCTACAGGAAGATCTGGATAGGTTGATGCAGTGATCAAAGAAGCGGCACTTATAAACTAAGTAATGTAGATTTCAATGAAACTGAATGCGAAAAATGACTCGGAAGTTCTGGTTAGTAGTAATCTAACGCCTAGACAACAGTGCATGTGATCGCAATAATGCTAATAAAATCCTTGGCTTCAGATCAAAAAGTATAAATAATAGGAGTTCTCAGGTTATATTTCGGCTTTATTGTTGGCAAGGTCTCGTTTAGATTATGCTGCACAGTTCTGGTCTCCATTTTACAGAATGGATATACATGCGGTAGAAAACGCGTAGAGAAGTTGGACGAGGTTTATTCCGTGTATCGGAAATCTTCCCACAAGGATAAACTGAGGGCAATGAATCTGCACTCTCTGAAAAGGCATAGATTCAGGGAAGATATGATTGAAGTGTAAAAATGGCCGACAGGAATAAATAAAGGGGGTTATAACGTTTTGAAAACATCTAACCAAGGCAGGATTCGCAGGTTTGGGTTCAAGATATAAAAATTTAGATTCAGCATGAATACAGGAAAGCACTGGTTTGGCAATAGAGTTATGGATGATTGGAACAAATTCCTAAGTAGCGTCACAAGAGAGAATTTTGGGTAGTTTTAAAAATAGGTTAGACAAGTACATGAGTAGGTGTGGGTGGCTGCAAGTTAGATCTGCCTAGCATGGGCTGCAGTGCTCCTCATTTCTTATATTTTTATTTTCTTAAAACAGTCTTCCCACCTTCACCTTCACTAAGATTCACCTTTCGCCGTGAGAGTACGGAGCGGTAGAGGTGGCGGGGAGGGACATAGAAAGGAAAGCTGGGATGGCCGAGCACCGCCCCCGGGGTTGTGTCCCGCCTGGTGGTTGCCCACACCGGCGCCTCTGTGTCGCGCTCTCTCTCTTCTGTTACTCTCTGTAGTAAGGACACGACTGTGTGTTTTACATGTGCAGAAATTTCACCACAGGAGAAAAGGAGGCACTTCACAGCGATATATTTTGTGTTGATACAAACGTACACACTTTCATTCATGCTATCTGCTTAGTAATGTGAACGCCGAGGATATGGCTCTTTGGTGCTTTCTTTCTTTTCCCACATTTGAAGCATTTTGATTGCTATATAAATTCACATGAAGCAACACATTGTTTTTTAATATGATCCAAGACTAACTTACCAACCTAACCTAACCTACGTAAAATTTACATAGCTAGTACAGTTTAATATTGTCGCACTCAAGTCAGACTAATTTTAGTATTAATTATCATGAATTAAATTAATTATCTCGTAATATGCAGACTCATCCCCCGAAGAATTGTAACAATAGTTAATATAGGAGCAGCATGTATGACAAAAACCTTCCTTGCCAAATAACTGTCTGTCTGTCTGTCTGTCTGTCTGTCTGTCTGTCTCTCTCTCTCTCTCTCTCTCTCTCTCTCTCTCTCTCTCTCTCTCTCTCTCTCTCTCTCTCTCTCTCTCTCTCTCTCTCTCTCTCACACACACACACACAGTTGATATTGTGTTTATACCTTTAATGATTAATTTTAGTTTTATAAGTTTTTCTGGACGTATTTTCTTGACTTTCCTTTAAGGTCTCCTTGCACTTTATTCTCAGCTGTAATATTTCCTTACCTAGTTATTCCTGAAATAATTTTAACGTTTCTTGGTAACATTACATATTATTTTCTTCCTCAGGTGGTCTTTTTTATTTTTATTGAAGCATTCTTTGTGTAAGTGTAACTATACATTATTTCCTTGCGTCGACGGATGCTGCCTTCACAGTTTGTATTACCTTTCTTGAATAATTTTTTTACAGACATTTCTCTTGCTATTATGCAAAATTTTTATGGGTTGCATATTTCAATGGCATTGAGCAAAGATGTTTTCTCTTAACGAAATTCCCTTTTCCTTTCGTACAAACTTTCTCTGGCTTTCTCAGAAAGATTCTCTGCGTTGTGCACAACAGACTTTCTCTCACATAAATAAATAATACATGTTCTTGAATGGCTAGATATTTTGATCGTTTTTATCTGCATCTGCTCCAGTTCTGTTTACGAAATGAAAATAATTCGGTAACGTTGGTAAAGACTAACAGAGAGTTACGCTGACCTAAGTTAGTCTTAGCAAGGTTAGCAGTGTTATGGCAATATATATATATATATATATATATATATATATATATATATATATATATATATATATATATATATATATATATATATATTATGGGGTGTGTGTGTGTGTGTGTGTGTGTGTGTGTGTGTGTGTGTGTGTGTGTGTGTGTGTGTGTGTACTCACCTAGTTGAGGTTGCGGGGGTCGAGTCCGAGCTCCTGGCCCCGCCTCTTCACTGATCGCTACTAGGTCACTCTCCCTGAGCCGTGAGCTTTATCATACCTCTGCTTAAAGCTATGTATGGATCCTGCCTCCACTACATCGCTTCCCAAACTATTCCACTTACTGACTACTCTGTGGCTGAAGAAATACTTCCTAACATCCCTGTGATTCATCTGTGTCTTCAGCTTCCAACTGTGTCCCCTTGTTACTGTGTCCAATCTCTGGAACATCCTGTCTTTGTCCACCTTGTCAATTCCTCTCAGTATTTTGTATGTCGTTATCATGTCCCCCTATCTCTCCTGTCCTTCAGTGTCGTCAGGTTGATTTCCCTTAACCTCTCCTCGTAGGACATACCTCTTAGCTCTGGGACTAGTCTTGTTGCAAACCTTTGCACTTTCTCTAGTTTCTTCACGTGCTTGGCTAGGTGTGGGTTCCAAACTGGTGCCGCATACTCCAATATGGGCCTAACATACACGGTGTACAGGGTCCTGAATGATTCCTTATTAAGATGTCGGAATGCTGTTCTGAGGTTTGCTAGGCGCCCATATGCTGCAGCAGTTATTTGGTTGATGTG